TTGTATATGATAATGTAAGGATGATGTAGTTTGATAGTATATATTGTTTACCAAATTAATAAAATAATACATACGTATAGTACATTAATAAATTTTCTTGATGCTATAAGTAATTTACTCATTACATGATACCATCGCCAGTAATAAAATTCTTTTGATATTTCAAAATATTTCAAATATATTTCGAAATAAATCGCATAATACTCCGTAATAAATTACATAATACTCCGTAATAAATTGTGTAATACTCCATAATAAATTGTGTAATATTATGTAATAAATTGTGCAATATTATGTCCAGACCGTAATTCTTGCGCGATATTACGGGCCGTAATATCTTACATAAGATTACGTTTATATAATTTGCTGATATATATATAATTATGTATTTGTAGATTAATACTATTTTTAGCTACTACTATCCCTTACACAATAAAGACTTACTTAGTTACTATAAATACTAAATGTAATTTGTCTCAACAACATGTTTTTTCCTTTACAGAGTCCTAACTTATTAGAGCTTATCTGCGAAATTAACAAAAGCCTGTTGCATGCTTGTCAAGATTGCTTTTTATATACTTTTACTTAGTTCTACCAGTGATATCCAAAAAGGTCTAAAAGCTTCTTTAACAAACTTTTTAATATAAGTTTTGCTTTGTTATAAATTCTTTGGGCTTTTTCTGTATATATATTTTTTTCGAATATTTTGTATATTCTCTGGCTTTCCTTTCTTTTTAACATCTGGCTCTTTTGACACCTTCTTTCTTTTTTTTCCTTCTTGACTCTTCTGAGTTTGCTTCTCTTTTTCTTTTGTCTTTTCAAGTAATATTTTAACTCTTTTTCTACTCTATAACAACTTTACACTAAAACTTTCAAATTCTTTCAAAAAAATCTTGTGGAAACTTCTAAGCATTCTTTTTAGGTCAAGTCTTGTTTCTTTATTTTCTTTTTTGTACTCAGACATGATTAGAGATATGCTATATATATTATACAAGCAATATTGCATACTACATAATGCTGCATAAAATGATGCAAGTTGCTTAAAATTTAAAAATGTATATAGAAGTTATTATATAATTTTGATCCATGTTATTTTATCAATAATTACTTTATAGGCACTTGTTTCTATCAAATTTATAGCCTGTGAATCTAATAAAAAATTAATTTACCAGGTCTGTTTTTATTATATAAATTTAATATTTTATGTTTTCAAATCTGATAACCTCTTAGTAATAAAAAGTTTGTTCACTATATATTGGTTTTAAGAAGTCACAATATATTATATAGAATTGTATAATACTAGTTGTAAACCCATGCAATAATGCACGGGAATAAACACAAAATTTTTAAATATAATTTTAAATTAAAAATAAATATATAGTAAAACTTTTTATAATTATTATATAAGTATATATAAATAATCTAGTTATAATTATTATATAAGTATATATAAATAATCTAGTTATATATAAATATAATATTTTATTTTATTTTTAGATTAATATAGTTACAAAATTGCAAGAAAATTATTTAAGTATTACTGTGTATGTAAAAATACTTCACGATATACAACATTATTTGTATGACAATAATTTAAAGTTATAGTTGGATCATTACATGTGAAAATTTTAATAGAATGATAAGAAGTAACTCTTGATAAAGCAACATATAATTGACCATGTGAAAAAACTGGTTTTGGTAAATAGATGCCAACTTGATTTAATGTTTAACCTTGTGCTTTGTTAATAGTCATAGAAAAAGCAGGCCGTACTGAAAATTGGCATCTTGTTAAAATAAAAAGTAATTCAGTATCAGAAAGTAATAATGAAATTCGAGGAATAAATACATGTTACCAATATTAGATCTTGTAATAATTTTAGCAACAATTACTTTGTTATAAAGAGCTCAACAAATTAAGCGAGTTCCATTGCAAAGTCCTTCTGCTGAATTTAAATTACGTAAAAGCATTATAGGTATACTAGCTTTTAACTTTAATTCACTAGAAGGAAGACCAAAGATTTTTAAAAATCTTAAAAATTCAGATAAATATAGATGAACATTTTCATCATTTGCTGAATCTGTAGAGTTTGCACTAGGATATATAGAAATTGGACCAGAAAACTGATCCATTATTAGATCAGAGATTATATTAACATTACTATTTTTTGGAGTTAGTATAGCTCTTTCAGTTAAGTAATTGATATTATTAGAGTTTTGAATAAAATCTGGATAAAAATTATCGATAATATTCCACCAGCTACAACTATATCAGAAGAGAGTGTTATTCTATTTTCTGTATCTGCAACAATTGGGTATGTTCCATCTCCTATTTGTAAAAGGAACTTGGCAAATTCTTTTTGTCTTTGATTCTCATTAATATCATTAGTTTGCTGAAGTCTCATATTAATTGTTAATTTTATAACTTTCATATTACTCCATAATAAAGAGTGAGGTAAGCTAGCTAAAACAATATCTGCATGAGATTCATGAAGTACAACATGTATTACTTGATGAAAATCACCACCAAAAACAATAACTTTTCTACCAAATGGTTTATCTACTTTCATAATATCACAAAATGTTTAATTAAAAGCTTCAAATGCAAATTTATTGGTCATTGGGGCTTCATCCCAAATAATAAGTTTTGCAATACTGATTAAATGAGCTTCTTTGCTATTCCATGAAATATTACATGTAGAAGATTCATTAGGTTTAAGTGAAATTTTGAAACGACTATGAGCTGTACGTCCACCTTTTATTAAAAGTGCTACAATTCCTGAAGAGGCTACTGCCAAAGCAATATAATGACATGACCTAACACTTGCTAGTAAAGTGTTATATAAAAAACTTTTTCTTATATCACCTGGTCTATCAATAAAAAAACATTCTCTTTCTTTATTGTCAATTGCTCTTATGACAGCATCAAATACCGCACATTGATCATTATTTAACAAAGGTATATTGCATTGTGATTTGGCTTCTAAGTCTGTTATATTGTAAGATCTTTCTTCACGTATTAAATGATTTAATTTTTCTTCATTATTACTGATATTTGAAGTAATAGATGGAATTGGCATATTAGGAAAATTTTTTAAAGATTTTCTATTTAGTAAAAGTATATTTTCTAATTGAGTAAGAGCTTTATTTTCAATTGCAGCAGGAATATCATTTGCATCTTCAAGATCTTGTAATTGCACATGAGCTTGATATAAAATATCTTTACATAATGCAATTTTATGATTATTCCATAATAACTCAGATTTTACAGGTTGGCAAAATAAAAGTATAGTTGCAAAAGCTGTCGTAGTTGGTGTTTTGTCTGTACAGAAGTTGCTTCAAGCAAACAAGCATCCTATTCAGTATCATCTTGAAGAAGATCTAAATAAGAGCAAGCTTCTTTAAAGCTACTATATGTATAATCATTTATAGTTTTTAGATCATCAAAGCTAGTTGCACCTTTTATATGACTAAGTAAAGCTTGTAAGTAATATCTTTCATCTTCCAAAGGTTGTACCATATAAAGTCAACCAATCATAGTTGCTGATGTTTTTCTAGGTATCCATTTGCAGCATGAAGAATTCCAAGTATAATAAGAAGGAAAGTTAACATAGGAATATATATGTGCCATTGGATTTTGCATATTCTCCTGAAACCAGGCTGTCAAAGTTGTCATACGATTTTTAGTATGATTAGCAACATCTTGAAGATTTTCTTCATCTTGAAATGTAACATAGTGATATTCAGGAAGATGAACAGTAAGCCTTTGTACTTTTAGACTATAGTTATGCAATTTATAATAAAAAATTCTCCAGATACTTTCTGAAGCTGAAACATATCTTTCATCTAGATATATTTTGATTTCATTAATTTGGGCAACTTCAGGTGAAAGTTGTTGATTATTAGCTTGGTTGAAATGAGCAAATATAACAGTTGCTTGATCATGCCCTTTATATACATATTTATATAGATATTTAACAGCTGTTATAGAACTGCAAATTTTAACATTAATATAAGCATTGTATTTTGTACATAATTTGACATTATGTGGCACAACTCATGTATTGTCTAATGGAAATTCATTTTTAACAAAGCATATATTGTCTCGTTTGCGATAAATAGGATACCTACTATTACTTTCCAAGGTATGTTCTTGAAAAGTTTTAGAATAATGTTTTGTACAAACACCATCTTTTATACATGGTGCGTTAGGTTTTAATAAACCACATGGACCATGTATCATTATAGTTGTTACTGTTTTATAGGCAAGAGAATGTGTGCAAATATCAGGAAGTTCAGCAGAGACAATGGAGTCATACTTTTCTGTAGTTTGTAATTTGTCATCTGAAGCAAGAATTAATAATATATGTACATGTGAAAAACCATGTTTTTGAAATTCTACTACATATACATATACAATAACTTTACCAAGCCAATAATTATTATTAATAGTGCTTGTAATTTTACATGAAATACACAGGCTGTTAAATCAGGCCTATCAACAGCATTCTGATGAGGTAATAATTCTCTAATAACTTCTGGCTATTTAGAATTACATGTAAATGTGACAAAAAGATCTGGTTTTCCAAAATAAGTAATAATTGCCATTGTATTCTGATATAACTAATACATTTGACGTAGTCTACCCGTAAAAGATGATGGAAGGATTATACAATGACTAATAGTATTACTACAATCTCCAGCATGTACTGCATCTATAATATCTTGATAAAATTCAGCACGAAGAGATTTTTGATTATATTTAAGGTAAATTAAATGATTTTGTTCTATTTTAGCATATTGATCAACAATATACTGTTGATATAAATGGCCAGCACACTGTATCTAATCATTATTTCTAATTTGCAATCTATAGGAGTAAAATTGCATAGCTGTTACTCATTCTCTTTTTACAGCATTTATGAGTAGTATATTTATATGCCATCCATCATCACCTTTAGGAAATAATAATACATAATGAAGTGGGTCATATAAAGGATGGAACTCTGCTATTCGCTGCAAATTTCCATCATGTGTTTTAAGAAGAATATCTTGATTTCTATCACTACGAATTATCATTGAAATTTCAGTAGTTACATTATTACATATAATATCTCTTACATGCTGAAAATTTTGAATATATGGATTGCAAATATCCAGCATATTCTGTAAACTTTGTAAAATATTTTTATTTAATTCATGTATTGCATTTTGACGATTTGTAATTTTATTTGCAGTATCATAAATATATAGTTGAGCAAATGCTAATGTGCGACCTTCATTTGGTAATAATAATTCAATTAGAAGATAAACTTGGCCATGAATTCGAAAATTTGCTATACCATGTTCCAAAAATTGGTTATCTATATTAGCACCAAAAGATGTGCAAGCCAAAGCACTATTATAACCTCTAGCATGTTTATGAAATTCAACTATATCAGGGTTAGTTGAAGTATAAAGATTTAGCAAATAAGGTGGAGGTTCAAGTAAAGGTAGTAATTGCACTTTGTTATTAGCACAACAAAGAGAAAATTTTAGAGCAGCAATTCCACTATTTTGATCTTTTTCAATCATTCAAAATTTAGCTTTATAATATCGACAGGTCTGATCCATTCTACCCATATCATGACGTTTAGTTTTATCACAGCGAGAATTCTGATTACTTTGAGTATTAGTAAACTTATGATTAGTAATTATAGGAACTTCAGTATTAGGTAAAGGCAAGAGATCATCAGAATCAGAACTGGAATCAGTATCTATAGCAGAAGTTTCAATAGGTTCAACTACAACTGTAAGAACTTTGATATTAAGTAAGTATTGAAGTTCTTTAGAAACATCATCAAATAAGTGTAAAATATTTTCTCGATTCTTATTTCTAAACCATTTTTGGTGCTTACGACTAAGTTGCTTTCGACATTTTTCTGAGGATACAGTATTACTGAAAGATGATGCCATTATCTAAAAAATAAATAATTATACACAAATAAGTAAAAATATTAAAAGCTTAATCAAATTTAAAAATTAAAAATTTAATATAATAATATATACAATTACTAATTAAGTTATTAATTATTTTGCAACAAAGTTTTAAACAAAGTTAAAAAACACAGTTTAAATAGATATTATAATATAATTATTATTAAATACAAAGTAATTTTTTTTTTTTTTAACAATTTAGCAGCCATGCCTTTACTTTATTAGACTTTGTAATAATTATCTAGACTATTAAAATTTTAGAAAGACTTATTGGTGAGTGATAAACTCTAAACATGTCAGCAGATAGTGTATAAGAACTATCTCTAAATGATATGCACCGTGCCTGAGGGCCACACAACTATACCTAAATTACAAGTAAAGACTAACTCAGTTGCTCAATGAGTACCTATATTCAACCTGCTATAGTAGGATTTTTCTCCTTTTGGATCCCTTCTGCAATTGGATATGACCCGGCTCTTAACAGATAGTACCTACTGCCTGTTATGACCACCTCTCCCTTCTTTCAGACTTCTTCCACCTAAGCTCGACAACAAAATTAAAACCCTTATTCATACATAAAAGTGAAAAAAAATAAAGCCATGTTTATAAAAGAACTAAACATTTTAGAAAAAAAACACCTTATAGTGAGAAAAAAAACTTTACAACAAATTCTAAAATAATCTAATATAAATAAACCAAGATGAAAAAAGCAAAAAAAAAGAAAGGTAGCCATGACACACTATTATAGCCCATGCCAGATATAAGAATAAAAATTATATAATAATTGCAACTAATTAATATATCTCGATTATAAGATGTCGTCTTATCATAGAAGACTCGTTCTGAGTACTGATGAAACTCAGGTATCTCCTAAATGGAGGTACTGATCTTTTCCCATACCGTAGCACCGTATTGATAAACAAAACAAACATGTAGTTGCATTTTACTAAGTACATCTAAATTAGAAAGGTGTAAATATTGCTAATCTTTTGAAGGGGTGAGCCCAAATTTCGAAAATTTTGAAAAGAACAGCAAAAGCAAGAGAGATGTAAAAAAACCAAGAGAAAACACCAAAGAAATATCTACTCAAGCCTACACAGTACTAAGTCTTTCCGGTAAGTGATAAACTCTGAGCTTGTCGGCAGGTAGCATATAAGAACTATCTCTAAATGACAAGTACTATACCTATAATAGGTCACTTTTCCCATGTCTCATGTTAAGGCTCCTTTCAAATCAAGCCATGATATATGTTATTCAAAGGAAAGTTTCCAAATTTCCAGAGAGCGTTGTTAGAAAAATCTATTTGTTGTTCTCCTTCTATTCTATTCTTTTGCGTTATGAGTTACTTTATCAACAAAAAGGCCCCAACTTCTCATAAGCATCTACTTTCCAGAATTTTAAAAGCAAAAGCACTAACTCTTGCTAGTTATCTTGTTTCCTAATGCTTCTAGTTTGCATGCCAAATATGTAAAGGAGTCTCTGGAATCAAAGAGTTGACCTT